TTTGTCCTGGGCCACTGAATCGCCATATAACGTTGTCCGTGGCCACGGAGTCGCCATAGAACTTTGTCTTGGGCCACGGAATCGCCATATAACTTGTCCTGGGCCACGGAATCACCATATAATTTTGTCCTGGGCCACGGAATCGCCATATAACTGTGCCCTGGTCCACGGATTGCCATATAACTTGGTCCTGGGCCACGGCGTCGCCTCGAATGTGCCAGTGTGTACGCAATGGATCGGCTCTGCCGTCCGAGCTCTCTTTCGCATCTTCCCTTACATTCTTACTTTTCTTGAGGATCGGCTCTGCCGTCCGCTTCTTTAATTTCGCTTGTCACACAAGTGCGCATCAGAAAGGGTGACTATTTCGTTACAGTAGATATCTTCCAAGTTGTTTATGTGGAAAATCTGGGTCCCCTCTGGTCCCCCCCTCGGCACCCTCTTCCCCCGATGTGTTATGTAGCGCAAGGTCGGTGTGAAGAGTTCCCCCGAACTGGGGTCTATAGCGCTCCAGGGTGTTCGGATCAGGGGTGGCAATTGTACACTTGTGTTTGTATAGCAGGTTTGTAATTGCAATTGTCCGGAAGAGCTGTTTTGGACAATTGAAGTTTTTTATCACCACTATAACCCCTCTTCAGTTACAATTGTCCGGAAGAGCCGTTTTGGACCATTGAGGTTTTTTGGACAGCTTTTTCGTTGCAGTCGTCCCGAAGATGTGATTCGGACAGTTCAGGTTATTCCCTTCAAAATGGCCGTTTCGCCTGAGGCGTCCTCGAAAAACGGGGATGTTGAAAGAGTTGCTTTAAGACGTCGTATCGTTAAAAGTGAAGCTCTCGCTCGAGACATCCTCGGAAAATCGAGTTTTTCAGATCGGTCGCGAAATCGGCCGAATATTCGGAAATGGCCATTTCGCTTGAGACATCCTCGAAAAACGGGGATGTTGAAACAGTTGTTTTAAGACGTCTTAGTGTTGAAAGTGAGGCTCTCGCTCGACACATCCTCGGAAACTGGAGTTGTTCAGATCGGTCGCGAAATCGGCCGAATATTCGGAAATGGCCGTTTCGCCTGAGACATCCTCGACAAACGGGGATGTTGAAACAGTTGTTTTAAGACGTCTTAGTGTTGAAAGTGAGGTTCTCGCTCGAGACATCCTCGGAAACTGGAGTTGTTCAGATTGATCGCCAACTCGGTCGAATATGATCTAGGTAGCGTTCCACGGTAGGGCGGGTTAAAACGGCATGCGGGTTAAAACGGCCACGCGTGTTAAAACGGTCATGCGGGTTAAGTTGGCCACGCTGGATCTAGGTAGCGTTCCACGGCCAGGCGGGTTAAAACGGCCATGCGGGTTAAAACGGCCACGCGGGTTAAAACGGCCACGCAGGTTAAAATGGCCACGCTTGATCTAGGTAGCGTTCCACCGCCAGGCGTGTTAAAACGGCCATGCGGTTTAAAACCGACCACGCGGGTTAAAACGGCCACGCGGGTGAAAACGGCCACGCTTGATCTAGGTAGCGTTCCACGGCCAGGCGGGTTAAACCGGCCATGCGGTTTAAAACGGACGCCCACCGTTTTCCCCCCCTTCGCCCGCCCGCCCAGCACACACCCGGCACGCACACCGCACACCCCCCCGTCCCGCCCCTCCAGAACACATACTGCATACACGCGCACACGCAGGCACACATACGCACACAGCCGCACACGCACCTGCACGCACACACACAAGCACACACACGCACACACGCATACAGGCCACGCGCAACACTTGACCAAACCAGCCAGAGGCATCCACTCAACACAAGCTACTCATGGCAACCATCTGGGCGTTTAGGGAAGCCTAGCGACGGCCAACCCCATGTGCACACATTCCACGTTGTGTGCAAATCCCTGCGCGTGCACACGCAAGCTCAGAGAAGCGGCGCTTCCCGTTCTTGTCCGGAAAGGTTCCCCTCAAAATGGCCGTTTCGCCTGAGACATCCTCGAAAAACGGGGATGTTGAAAGAGTTGTTTTAAGACGTCGTATCGTTAAAAGTGAAGCTCTCGTTCGAGACATCCTCGGAAAATGGAGTTGTTCAGGTCGGTCGCGAAATCAGCCGAATATTCGGAAATGGCCATTTCGCCTGAGACATCCTCGAAAAACGGGGATGTTGAAACAGTTGGTTTAAGACGTCTTAGTGTTGAAAGTGAGGCTCTCGCTCGACACATCCTCGGAAACTGGAGTTGTTCAGATCGGTCGCGAAATCGGCCGAATATTCGGAAATGGCCGTTTCGCCTGAGACATCCTCGAAAAACGGGGATGTTGAAACAGTTGTTTTAAGACGTCTTAGTGTTGAAAATGAGGCTCTCGCTCGAGACATCCTCGGAAACTGGAGTTGTTCAGATCGATCGCCAACTCGGTCGAATATGATCTAGGTAGCGTTCCACGGTCGGGCGGGTTAAAACGGCATGCGGGTTAAAATGGCTACGCGGGTTAAAACGGCCATGCGGGTTAAAACGGCTACGCTGGATCTAGGTAGCGTTCCACAGCCAGGCGGGTTAAAAGCGGCCGTGCGGGTTAAAACGGCCACGCGGGTTAAAACGGCCACGCGGGTTGAAAAGGCCATGCTTGATCTAGGTAGCGTTCCACGGCCAGGCGGGTTAAAATGGCCATGCGGGTCAAAACGACCACGCGGGTTAAAAAGGCCACGCGGGCTAAAACGGCCACGCTTGATCTAGATAGCCTTCCACGGCCAGGCGGGTTAAAACGGCCATGCGGTTTAAAACGGACGCCCACCGTACTCCCCCCCCCGCCCGCCCAGCACACACCCGGCACGCACACCGCACACCCCCCCGTCCCGCCCCCTCCAGAACACATACTGCATACACGCTCTCACGCAGGCACACATACGCACACAGCCGTACACGCACGTGCACACGCACACACAAGCACACACGCACACACGCATACAGGCCACGCGCAGCACCTGACCAACCCAACCAGAGGCAAGCTACTCATGGCAACCATCTGGGCGTTGAGGGAAGCCCAGCGACGACCAACCCCATGTGCACATATTCCACGTTGTGTGCAAAACCATGCGCGTGCGCACGCAAGCTCAGAGAAGCGGCGCTTCCCGTTCTTGTCCGGAAAGGTTCCCCCAAAAAGCGATTTCGCTCGGGACATGCTCACAACAATGAAATGTTCGCGACATCGCGTTCAATAAAAACAAGCGTTTCGCCCTGGACATCCCCGAAACATTGGCCACTGCAAAATTCATTCATCGGTATTAATGTGCGTTTCGCCTGAGACATCCTCACAAACATGACGTGTCCCGGGGGGTGTTCTACTGCCGTTTACGTTGAAAACTGCGTTTTCGCTTGGGACATCCTCAGAAAATGTTCGGCAGCACGGCGGACCAGCAAGCAGAGCACGTCAGAAAATTTGCATTTCGCTGGGGACATCCTCAAACAAAGGGGATGTTCTCAACATCGTCTTGATATCGTTCTTGAAGTGCTGCAAGAGGACGAAATGAGAGCCCAAAAAGGACTTCAAGATGGCTCTCAGAGCGCCTGGGAGACTGCCGAAAATGACCATTTCGCCAGGCACATCCTCAACCCATGAAAAAAATACAACAGCATCGTTTTGACAACTGTTGTTCTAACCTCGTCTTGGAGCCGCTCTTGACAAGGCTTCCAGATGGCCCAAACCAGGCTTCTCAAAATGACGATTTCGTTAGGGACATCATCAAAAAGTGATGTGTGCGTGGCAACGCATTAGCACGTTTTTGATGGCGTCGAGGCAGCCGCAAACGAGGCCCAATATGACCCCAAGAACGCCCTCGAGATTCCTCAAGTTCAGCAGCTCGCTCGAGACATCCTCACCAAACTGAGTTGTTCGCAACACCGTCGTGCACAAAAACAATCATTTCGCCCGAGACATCCACCAGACACTGAAAATGGCGAATTCAACAAACATATGGAAACGGGGATATCGCCCGAAACATCCTCGAACAATGAGATGTTCAAAAGGCTGATTGAAGATCATGTGTGCTAAAACTGTGCTTTTCGCTCGAGACATCATCAGACAATGTGCAGAACTGCGGCAGCCAAACACGCAGGAGCACGGCAGAACGCGCGAAAGCACGGCAAAACGCACAGGAGCACGGCAAACCACACAGGAGCACGGCAGAACCCAAAGACCACACGGGAACACGGCAGAACAAACAGGAGCACGGCAGAACACACAGGAGCACGGCAGAACACACAGGAGCACGAGGAGCACGGCAGAACACACAGAATGCACATGATCACGGCACACCACACAGGAGCACGGCAAAACACGCAGGTGCACGGCAGAACACACAGAACACAGAACATATAGGAACACGGCAGAACACACATGACCACGGCAGAACACACATGACCACGGCAGAACACAGGAGCAGGGGTCCGTAGCAATTTTGGTTCAAGGCCATGGAGAACCCGACGACCGCGAGTCGTTCGCGGCGCTCTGAGCGCGAGGGTCTCCGCGCTTTGGGCCAGTGCACTTCGAGTTTGTGTTTCCTGCTTTCGCGGCGCGGAGGCGCGGCCCCTCGGCCAGCTCTGCAGTGGCCATGGCGTGGTCCCCACGCGGCGGCGGCAGCAGCAGGCGCGGCAAGTCCTATTGGATGTGCAGCTGCGGAGGATGGAACTGGGATTGGCGCGCCTCGTGCCTTGGCTGTGGGTATGCGGCTCCGCCCTGGGCGCTGGGAATGTCCCCCGCCAAGGCGGGGCCCAAGGCAGACAAGGACGGATGTGTGGATCAGCCACGTGGGCGCCGTGCCCAGAGGCAGGCGCGCAGCGCGGCCTCGCGGGGAGCCTCCGCCAAGTCACAGGCTTCGGCGTTGGCAGCGAGTGGGACGCCCAGCGGTGGAGGCGCCACGGCGATCGAGAGGCCCCAGACGGCAGTCGAGCAGCTCGAGGCGTAGCAGGCCGAGCCGCCTGACGGCGTGGACGGCTGTTTCACCGACGTCGGCGCGCTTCGCCTCCAGCTGGGCCCAGAAGGCGGCAGCAGAGCAGAAGGCCTCCTCCCTGCCACGGGCGGCGCAGCTCCACGGGGGGGCGAACGCCATCAGCAAGGGTGAGAAGCGGCCCCGCGCAGCCCGCCAGGAGCTCGAGCAGAAGCAGGCGGCGCGTAGCCTCGTCGAGGCCCAGCTCCAGAAGGCCCAGGAGGAGCTCGCGGAGCTCGGCGCGGAGGTTGAGGAGGCGAGCCGTGCGCTCCAGGCGCTCGAGGAGGCGGCCCGCGAGGAGGCCGAGGCGCTGCGCCGCCAGCGCGAGGTGGCCTGGGCAGCCGTCCGCGCCCAGGTGGAGGCGGTGCGGGCGCAGCTCGCGGGGGCCCCTGTGGCCCCCAAGCGTGCGCCGTGGGCTGAGCCCTGCCCCATGGAGGAGACCAGCAGCGACGATGGCAATCTCGCAGGTAGCGGTAGCTCCTGGCAGCCACAGCCAGCCGCAGAGCGAGGCCAAGCCGAGCGGCGTGGCAAGGCGCATGGCGAGTGGCCGACGGTGGCTCAGGCACGCAAGCGGGAGCTGGCTGCAGAGGCAGCGGACCTGGCTCCTCTGGCTGCTCGTCATGCCGGCCGCGCCGCTGGGAGCCGCGTCGGAGGAGCGCCGCCAGGGCCAACGAATGCCTAGTGAGACCAGTGCGGCGGGCCTGCACCAGCACGAGTGCGGCCACGCCGAGGGCGCCCTGGTGGAGTCCCACGGCATCGACGTCAGCGACCCGCCCAGGTACCTGGGGCACGCCGCAGGGCCCAGCATTGTCCTCATGCCCCAGGGCGCGGAGGAGAACGAGGTCGGGGCCCACGTGTTCGGCACTGGCGAGTGGAGCGACCCCATTGGCCAAGCAGGCGTACCTGGGCACCCCGAGGCGATGGCAAAGAGTGCGGGCCTGCAGCAGCCAGCCGAGCTGCCACTCAGGGCACGCGCTCGGAGGCTGGAGGCGGCAGCAGCCAGGCGCGCCAGGGCCGCCACCGTGGTGCGCTGTGCCTCGCCCGCCGACGCGGTGGTGCGGCCCCTGGAGCGGTTCGGCTGGTACTTCGAGCCTGAGCGGGGCATGGTCGTGGACCTCGGCGACGCGTTCGATCCCATGTTCCTCGGGCCTCGGGCGATGAGCTTTGAGGCAAGTTCGGTTGCTCTGCAGGCCTCCAACCGCCATGGGGGGCAGAAGCTCAGCGGCGACCCCCTCTTGCTGCGGCTGTTGTTCGGGGACGCCATCGGACAACTGCTCGGGCCAGGAATCGAGCTGCACGCGAAGGGACAGCACGCGCGAGGCGCCTACATCTCCAACACACACACACAGACACACACAGACACACACACATACACACACATACACACACAGACACACACAGACACACACAGACACACACAGACACACACAGACACACACAGACACACACAGACACACACAGACACACACAGACACAGACACACACACAGACACACACACACACACACACTGGACGATGAGGGTCTGGATGCTTCGGCAGCCAGTCGATGGCAGGCTCAACGGCAAGCTGTACCTCGACGGCTCGGCCAAGAGTAGCGAAGGCCCCCCTCCTGCTGGCGAGCGCCGCCAGGTGCTGGCCGCTGCGGCTGCGGAGCCTCTTCTGGCTGGAGAGGCCCTCGGCGGCGGCGCTCCTGCCCAGCGGCCGCGCCTGGAGAGCAGCCGCTCAACGGGGAGCAGTACGGCAGCCCTCTCGACCACCGCTGTCGCCTTCAGCATCCCGGGGCACGCGCTCAGCTACGCCTGCGCGGGCGAAGGCGAGGACGCAGCGCGGCGCCTACAAGGTGCTGGGCAGCCACGCGGGAGGCAAGTCCCGCCTGAAGGTGCAGTGCCCCGGGCCCAGCTACCTGACCAACGAGTCAGGCAGGAACCAGCGCAGCCTGCGGGGGCGAGGGCTCCATCCTGGAGGCAGGCCGCGAGCGGACAAGCAGAGAGCGAAGGGAGGGGGCATCCCTGCCTTGCGCTCGCAGGGCACGCCCAGGAGCGCTACCTGGCATGGCTCGGCATGGAAGCCGAGCCTGCAGGCGAGGCCTCAGCTGCGGCCAGCAGCTCTGGCAGCGGCCCATTGGCCCCTGCGGCGGCGCTGGCGGAGGAGGCTGCGGCTGCCAGCCTGCCCCAGCAGCGCCCAGGCCCGACGAGTGCTGGGCCCCTCGGCGCGAACGAGGCCACCGAGGAGGTGAGCGCTGCCGCGGGCGCAGCGGCGAGCGACGGCCAGATGGGCCGCAGGGTCCGCCGCCGTCTGGCGCGCCGCGGCCTGGAGTCTGAGAGTGAGTGAAGGCTTCCCTGCCTTTCCGCCAGCGCCTGCTGCTCCCTTGTGCATAAGCTCGTGTGTCTGGCTTTGCTTGGGATTCGGCGTCTCTCGGGACCTTGGTCCCGCCTGGCCCTGTCCCCGTGTTCCTCCCCTTCCCTGCGCCTTGAAGGCCTCGTCTTTAAGTCTAACTTTAACGCAGGCGCAGGGGGGGCACGGCAGAGCACGGCAGAACAAGCAGGAGCGCGGCAGAACACACAAAACACATAGGAGCACGGCAGAACAAGCAGAAGCGTGGCAGAACACACAGGAGCACGGCAGTACACATAGGGGCACGGCAGAACACATGGGTGCATTGTTGAAAAGGTTGATGTAAGACCAGGCGTGCCAAAGCTGAGTTTCTCGCCCGAGACATCTTCAGAGCACGGGCAGGATCACGGCAGCCCAACACGCAGAAGCACGGCAGAACGCGCGAGAGCACGGCAGCACACACAGGAACACGGCAGAATACACAGGAGCACGGCAGAACCCAGAGAACACGGGAACACGGTAGAACAAACAGGAACACAGTTGAACAAGCAGGAGCGCGGCAGAACACACAGGAGCACGAGTAGCACGGCAGAACACACAGAATGCACAGGAGCACGGCAAAACACACAGGATCATGGCAGAACGCACATAATGCACAGGAGCACGGCAAAACACACAGGAGCACGGCAGAACACGCAGGTGCACGGCAGAACACGCAGAACACAGAACATACAGGAACACGGCAGCACCCACAGGAACACGGCATATCACACAGCAGCACGGCAGAAGACAGGAGCAGGAGGAGCACGCCAGAGAACGGCAGAACAAGCAGGAACACGGCAGAACACACAAAACACACAGGAACACGGCAGAACAAGCAGAAGCGCGGCGGAACACAGGAGCACGGCAAAACACATAGGAACACGGCAGAACTCATAGGTGCACGGCAGAGTTGACGGCAGAACATGCAGGAGCACGGCAGAACACACATGACTACGGCAGAACACGCATGATCTTGAGGAGCACGGCCGAACACGGAGTACATGGGAGCACGGCAGAACACACATGAGCATGGCAGAACACACAGGAGCGCGGCAGATCACACAAAACACATAGGAGCACGGCAGAACAACCAGCAGCACGGCAGAACACACAGGAACACGGCAGAACACACAGGAACACGGCAGAACACACAGGAGCACGGACGGCAGAGCAGGACCATGGCAGAATACACGGGAGCACGGCAGAACATACAGGATTACGGCAGAACACGCAGGAGCACGGCAGAACACATATAACATTTATTCACACAGCCGCACCCACAGGCACACGCACATAGGCACACGCACATAGACACACGCACATAGGCACACGCACACGCACACGCACACACAGACACATACACACGCACACACACACACACACACACACACACACACGCACTCACAGAGAGTCAACATACGTTCACGGAGACCGTATGAGCACGGCAGGGCAGCACGGCATAACGCAGCAGTGCCGCTGACCACCACGCACGGACACACATGCACAGATTCCACGCACGCACGCGCACGCGCAAACGCACGCATGCCACGACAGACTTGCGCAGCGCATACTAAGAACGCAGGATACCCCACAAGCCCAGGACACAAAAGGACGCTTCCCGTTCTTGTCTGGTCAGGTTTGGCGCGCCTCCACCACCGGTGGTGCGCCCTCCGCGGCCGTCTTCTTTGCACCTCCCCTCGCTTGCATGCGGGACAATTCGAAGCACCATAGGCCGGTTTGCTCGACGCGCGAGCGGATCACATTTGCCGCGCCGCGTCGGAAATAGAGTGGCGGAAGTGAGAAGGAGAAGGTTTTCTCAAAAGGCTCGGAAGTCGTCTGGCCTTCTGAGAGATTTTCTAAGCCTTCGCCGAAGACGCAGAAAACTTCTCCGAAGGCGGGATGGTTTCTCAGAAGCCCTGCCGCCTTCTGAGGAGGCCTTACATATCCTTCTCACTTCCCCCACTCGCTCGACGCCGATTTGAGATGATAGCCGCCCGTGTGCTCAGGGACGCCTAGGCAAAAACGCGGCGCTTCTCAAATCTCAGACAGGGAACAACAGATTGTGCTCATTTCAATTCCTCCGATTCGGTTCGAGTTCGATGGCTTCCGATTCCGATTCGATTGGAGTTGGGATTCCGATCTGAGCTCCGATGTCTCATTGGCGGCCTTACTAGCCTGTCGATCTCCGCCGATTCGACTTCTTCCGACTCGGCTGCCGATTTCTACCGATCCGATTAATTTCGATCGCCGATCCGATTTATCGATTCGATTCTGAGCTCTCATGGCTCAGCGCCGCCTAGGCATAAACATTCCTTTATTTACATTCCAGCGTCGGCACGCCGTAGCGTCATGCAGTACTTCACCACCCATCAAGCCACCCCAACCCAACGAAAAGGCCCCTATGTGCTCTACATTCCCAGTGGGGGGGGCGTCGGGGAACATTTTTGAAAAAATGGAACCCGTACCCCACCCCAACCCGAAATGTTAATTTCCGGGTTGGGTTGGGGTGGTCTGGTAGGTAGTCAGTACCGGACACGTTCAGGCATGCAAATGCCCAGTGGTCGCCCTCCCCCGATGGGTTCTCGGTGGCGGTGGTATGAGTTTCCTTCGAATATCGCTGTCGCACAGGGGCGTTCTCTTTGTGCTGGTTCTCCTCCAGCCAGGGGGGCGACTCTAGCCCAGACAGCTCGTCCCAGCTGTAAGAAATGCTGGTTTTGATGCGAGGGCCTTGTTTTCTTCTGATTTCAAAACGGCAGCCCTCGCCGCGAAATCAGTTGAATAGTGATATGACTTCTGATTGAACGTTCGATTGTCCAGGCGATGGAGTTCGTTTGTCCAAACCTCCACACGCGTTCGCCTGCCAACTCAGAGCCCCTTCAGGAGCACTCATGGGTCGTGGCGCTGGGGAACGCTCCGGAGTCCCGCGACCTGATACCTGCCAGGGAGCTGGAGGCCAGAGCGAAAAACTCTGTACACACACCATCCTCAGCCGCCCCGTCTCACTCGCCCCCTCTTCCCAGTTGCCCCTCTTCTCTACTCGTTCCCCCATCCACTTCTCGTGTCGCCCGCAATGCCGCGGCAGCTCTGTTTTTTATTGGGGGGGGAGCTCCAAAGGCGCTGCCCAGCCCGGACGCCTTCATAGTCCGCTCCGCTGGCGGCAAGAACGGCACGGTCGCGGCCTGTGCAGGCCGAACCTTGCGGGGCACGGCCTTCGCGTTCTTCGAGCTGCTCCAGTCGCTCGGGTTTGCCTTCGCGCACCCGCTCCACGCCGGCGGGCCACGCCGGCTGCCGGAGCCGCTGCCACAGCTGGATGCGCGCCAGACGCCTCGCTGGGAGCTGCGCGGCACGCACTACCACACGCAGCACCCCCTGGAGCTGACCAACCTCCTGAACGGCTTCGATGCCGAGGCGGCGGGTTGAAAAAAAGAGGTGCTTCTCGCAACGGACACTCTCGCCTCGCTCGGAGTCCGCGCTGGCTTCATCGCGACGTATATGTGTTTGTGTCTACCAGTTGTCGACAGGGCTGGGCCTAAACGTTTTTTTTGTTTTTGCGATTTCGTGGGCCGTTTTCATTTCGATTTCGTTTCGCGGTAGAGGTGGATTGAAGACAAAACGAGGGAAAACGAAAACAAAACGAGAACGAAAAAGACCGCTTCGGTTCAGCCCTGGTTGCCGACATGCCCAAGGAAACCATGCTTCGCACATTGCCTTGCACTGTGCTTCTGCCGCTCGCGCTCCCTCCGCTCAGAGTTAAGTCGGGCGTGTCCTCCTACAGGGGAATTTCCGACGAAAAATAAAAAATACCCAAAAAATATTTCAAAAAGGTCAACCATATTCAAAAAAATAGCCCCCAGACTATTTTTGGACTATTTTTTATTATTGTGGGGGTATTTGTTATTTTTCGTCGAAAATCCCCTTGTAGGGGGGCAGGCCCGACTGAAGCTCAGAGTCCTCCAAAAGCTTCTTCGCCGTGAGCCCCCTTCCTCGTCACGAGCCGCCGAGGCAGGCACGCTCAGCCGAGCCCGCTGGGAGGCCGCGCTGCCGGCCTGGGAGAAGTTCCTGGACTGGATGCTGGCGCTGAAGCAGAACTACGTGGAGTGGATGCTGCTTTCGGACCGCAGGCTGTCAGGAGGGGAGGAAACACACGCAGGCACAAGGAGTCGTCGACTCCCAGGAAGATGCGGGAAACTATGGGAAATGGGGGGTAAGACGAAAACCCAGAAACTTGGGAAAGTATGTGGAATCCTGGGATTTGTGTCTATTTATGTGTGTGTGCGTGTGTGTGTGTGTGTGTGTTGTGATGTGCTGTGCTGTGCTGTGTTGTGTGGTGTTGGTGTTGGTGTTGGTGTTGGTGTTGGTGTTGGTGTTGGTGTTGGTGGTGGTGTTGGTGTTGGTGTTGGTGTTGGTGTTGGTGTTGGTGTTGGTGTTGGTGTTGGTGTTGGTGTTGGTGTTGTTGTGTGTTGGTGTTGGTGTTGGTGTTGGTGTTGGTGTTGGTGTTGGTGTTGGTGTTGGTGTTGGTGTTGGTGTTGGTGTTGGTGTTGGTGTTGGTGTTGGTGTTGGTGTTGGTGTTGGTGTTGGTGTTGGTGTTGGTGTTGGTGTTGGTGTTGGTGTTGGTGTTGGTGTTGGTGTGCTGTGCTGTGCTGTGCTGTGCTGTGCTGTGCTGTGCTGTGCTGTGCTGTGCTGTTGTGTTGTGTTGTGTTGTGTTGTGTTGTGGGTTGTGGTGTGGTGTGTTGTGTTGTGTTGTGTTGTGTTGTGGTTTGGTGTGGTGTGGTGTGTTGTGTTGTGTTGTGTTGTGTTGCGTTGCGTTGTGTTGTGTTGTGTTGTGTTGTGTTGTGTTGTGGTGTGGTGTGTGTGGGTGTGTGTGTGTGTCCCTGGGCCCCTTTAGGCTGAGCGGCGGAGGCAGCTTCGAGCTCAGCGACGAGCGACAGGCCCGCCTCCAGGAGCTCGTGCGGCGGGCGCACGGCAGGGGCATCGAGGTGGGCGTCGACGTGCCCCTGGCGCTGCAGCAGCAGCACGCGCTGAGCATCCTGCCAGCACCGACAGGTCGCTGGGCCGAGGACGAGGCGATGTTGACCCACCGCCTCAGCTGGCTGCTCGCCTGCGGCTTCGACCACGTGGGCACGGAGCTGGGCACAACTGAGTTCACTCGCGGGCTCCCCGCAGAGTACATGGTGCGCCTCCTGAACGCCACGAAGCGCGCGATCGGCCCCTCCAGGCGTCTGCTAGTGAAGAATCATTGCTCCACCAAGCAGCACGCCGATGGCTTCCCTGACCCTCGTCCAGGCCACGGCAGTGCCGACCTCAACTTCAACTACCTCAGCTACTACGCCGAGCCAGACATCGTCGCCATGCCTCATACTGTGCAGGCGTACTCGCTCGAGGACCCAGCCCCCACGTACGGCAACAGGAACTTCTCGGACCTGCGCAATTGGACCGCGTTTCTGTTGCAGCAGGGGCGGCCGGTGGTCTTCTACCCGGAGACCGCCTACTGGGTGAACTACGACATCTCGGTGCCGCTCTTCCTGGCGCCAGTGTACGCCAAGAGCCGCGTGGAGGACGCGCTCGACATCGACGCCATGGGCGGCGCTCGGCCGGTCCTCGGACAGCTGAGCTTCGAGAGCGGGTGGCAGTGGGGGTATTGGCTCGCCAACTCGGTACAGGCCGCCGTGGCGTGGGAGAGGCTTCCGGACACGGCAGCCACACTGCACCGCGTGCTCCGATTCATGCCCTCCGGAGTGCTGGAGCCATTGGTGGAGCTGTTGGTGCAGCAGGCGGAGGCGCAGCACCGCCTGCTCGTCCGCGGGCTCGAGGGCGCCGAGCCGCCGCAGGGCATCGGCTACGGCGCCCTGACCGGCATCGCGTACATCCAGGGCTCCGAGGGCTTGTCGGACCTTGGGAGCCTAGGTGCACGCTACCTCGGCGAAGGCGCGCCGAACCCAGACCGGCTGCGCTTCGGCGACCTGTGGCGCAGCACCCCCCTCGCGAGCCTGGGCCTCGCCAGGGCCGTGGTGGGCGACGGGGTGTTGGGGCGCCTGGCGCTCGCCAGAGAGGCGCTCGCTGGCGACTCCGAGGCAGTGAAGCTCCGGCGGCAGTGGTACCACACTCGGTTGAGGCCGCTGCTGTCGGACATGAACCGCACCTTCACGGCCTTTGCCGAGCGCTTCGGTGCCTTGCCAACGCTGGAGCCCACGGCTTCCGCCCCGGCGCGCGCCCTGCTGCAAGACCTCGCGGTCTCCGCGCGACTGCTCGGCCTCCGCTGCGGGCAGGTGCTCGCACTGTACGACCACGCCGCCCGCTGCGGCACGTCGAGCGACCCGTCGCCGCCCAGTCTGACGGCTTGGTGCAGCGCTCGCCTGGCCGCCGCCCGTGGTGCGCTGCAGGAGGCGCTCGCGCTGGTGCCCCAGCGAGAGGCCGAGTACGGCCTAGAGGCGGCGGGCCTCAGCCAGGCGGCCGTGTCTGGCTGGCGGGAGCCCGTCCCGACCGCGTACTCTTACGGCTACCTGTGGGCGGCGCACACCCTCTTCTATTGGCGGAGGGACCAGGCCATCGTGGAGCAGCGCATCCACGACCCCTGCTTCGCCACGATCAACGACCCCGTGGAACTCGGCCTGCAGGGGGGCGGCGGGCCCTGGCAGCACCGCGTCCGGAGGTGGATCGAGGCTGCGGCCTCCAACCCGATCTGGCACCTGCCCCTGGCGGGCTGCGCGGGCCCGAAGGGAGAGCCCGCGCTCGTCGGGGCCGACGTCAGCAGCGCTGGCACACCCACGGAGCTGCCTGGGGAGAGGGCGTGGCTGCGGGCCACGGACCTCCTGCTGTTGTGAGGCCAGCCCAGGCTGGCAGGCCCCACCTGCGGGGAGGACGTGGAGGAGGAGGAGGAGGAGGAGGAGGAAGCCCAGATGGAACCCGAGATGTATCAACGATGCTGCAACACACCCTCCCATCCCACGTCCCCCCATCGCAAGTCCCTATAAGGCTCCATTTCCATTCCAAGAAGCGTCCCTTCGAAGGACCAGCACCCCATGGGCATGCCATTCAGGCGAGAGCCCCTTTTGAAGAGGAACTGACGGCATAGCATGCTTCCAGCGAGCTATAAGGAACGCGCTGAAGTATGGTCAGAGAGTTCAAAGAGGGGTCCAGCGATATTCCCGTTTTGAAACAGGACCGCCCCCATCGGTGCAACTCTTGGCCCCATCCGTGCAACTCCTCTTGTGATGAGCGTCGAGGAAGCTTCAGCCAAAGCTCTATGTTGAAAAAGGGCCGCCCTCCATCCATGCAACTGTTGCGTCTGCTCGAGCGTCTGGTCTTTAAACTTACAGAGGTCTCGAGCGAACGCGCAAATTTGAAAAGGGAACCGCCCTTTCTCCGAGCAGTTGCTGCATCTGCTCGAGTCCCTGATTCAATTTAGAGAAGTCCACAGCGAAAGCCCCACCTTGAAAAGGAACCGCTCATTATCCCCGTAGCTGTCGCAAGCGTCTCAGACGAAGGCACACGGTGCTGCGGCGAGACCCCGACGTTGACGAGGAACTTGTGCCCGCGGCAGGCTATCAAGATGGATATTTGCGCGGCGCCTGGGCAAGAGCCGCACGTCGAGACGGAGCCGCCCCCCCCCATCCTTGAAGCTGTCGCATTTGTTCTGTGTATCCTACTCCTCCTGCTCCTCCTCCTCTTGCTCCTCCTCCTCCTACTCCTCCTCCCCCCCGCCTCCGCCAACTCCTCCTCCTCCTCCTCCTCCTCCTCCTCCTCCTCCTCCTCCTCCTCCTAGAGATGAAGATGCGCGGCGCTGGGTCGAGGGCTCCATTTTGAAAACGCCCCCCCTCCGTCCTTGAAGCGGCAGCCCACTGTTAAGACGCATGTGCGCGGCGCTACAGCGAGAGCTGCGTGTTGAAAACCGGCCGCCCTCCATACTTGAAGAATGTGTTGCCAATTTCATAACAAAGTGCGTGGTGATGAAAGGGAGAGCCACGTGTTGAAAACGCCCCCCTCCCTCCGTGAAAGTGTTTGAAGCCGTTTAAGACGAATGTGCGCGGCGCAACGGCCAGAGCCGCATTCTGTAAACGAACCGCCCTCCATTCGTGAAGGCTTTTCGAAGCTCAAGCTTCAGGATCATATACAGAGAGGAAGTCCCAGGCTAAACGCACAGTCGGCCCTGCCGACAAATCGGGGCGTGTGACAGGGAAGAGTTGTTCATACGGAAGAGGGATGGAGGTGCGGCAGCAACAGCAGGCGGTGGTGTTTTTCTGTCGCCTGCTGGGGGCACGGGGGCGCCCGTGAAGGCTCGCCGCCACAGGGCGCCGACTACCAGAAGGCATCGCCGATACGCGCGCGCGGCGGGTCCACATGAGCTACCACGAGGGGTGCAGAGTCAATCGCGCGCCTGCGCGCCCAACGGCCGGCACCCCAAGGAGGCCCCCTTTGCAGAGCGGCGGCGCGAGGGAACGGAGCGGGCCGTCCGCCGCGCATCGCGGGGCTTGGCATCGCTCGGACGCGTGCATCCTTTCTCGACGAGGGCCATCGAGGAGCATCTTGGATCCTCTCGGGGAGAAAAGTGCACGACACCGAAGAGACGCGCGGGGAATGGACGTCCGAGAGATAGCGAGGGGGCGCGGAGCTCGAAGTTGGGCGGCCAAGGCCTGCGGGCGCGGTCGAGGGGCAGGGCCGCCGGACTTGGTTATGGCAGGGAGTCGCGGCGACGTCCTGCCCGCAGAGCCGCCTAGGCCGCCTCGGGACTCGGGCAGCCCCTGCAGGTGGATGCAGCCCGCCAGGAATCGCCCAGAAGGAAGCAAAGGCGGCGGAGGAGGATGAGGAGGAGGAGCAGGAGAACGAGGAGACGTGGAAGGACGAGGAGGAGGAGGAGGAGGTCGCTCGCTGTTCCCCGACAGTGCCCTGGGGCTACCGGCGCAGAGGCCTGCAAGGCAGCCGTGGCTCGAAGAAGCCGGCGTGCGGCAGTAGTGACGCAATAGGGTTCCCGCGTTTGCGGGCAAAATTTTCTGGAAGGGTGGGCTGTTTGGAGTAGCGTTGCAGCAGGAAGAGGAGGGGTGGAAGAGAGGAGGAGTAGGAGGAGGATGAGGGAGGAGGAGGAGGATACGTGGGAGAAGAAGGAGGAGGAAGAGAAGGCAGAGGAGGAAGAGGAGGAACGGGATGAGGAGGAGAAGGACGAAGAGGAGGAGGAGGAGGACGACGACGACGAGTAGGATGAGGAGGAGGACGACGACGACTACGAGGATGAGGAGGAGGAAAGGGAGGGAGGATCGACGGCCCCAAACGGTGCGGGAACCACACCATGAGGCGAGTCAGTGGAGATTCGGGGTGGCCGCACGGTTGTGGGGCTTGGATCGTTGTCCGAGGCTGTCTCGGGCGGCGGGGTGCTCCAGGATCCCAAATCGGTGAGGTGACGGTCCGTGCGCTGAAGTCTTTGGGGATTTCGAGGTCACCGCATCTGTAAGCGCACCGTCTTGCGACCCCCGAGAGGAGGGGGAGGACGCATCCTCCTTCGTGCTCCTGCTCCTCTTCCTCCCCCTCCTCCTTCTCGTCATCATCCTGCTTCTCCCCACTCTCCTATTCTTCCGAGCGGACATTGATATACAGCGGTAGGAAGTGACTGGGAACCCGCAGTGGTGGGAAGACCCAGGAGGATATGCGATGTTTCTTCACTCTGGCAACTACTCTCGCATCGACTCCCGAGCTTCCCTGTTTGCCATCTGATACCACATTCCGAGTTGCACGACTCCAACGCCAAAGTGTTCGACTCTGGTTCCTATCTCCGCAGTGTCCTTCTTATTCTGATTCCAGCTTCCGTTTTCCGACTCCGCTTCCCGCTTCAAATTCCAGCGCACTTCGTGTTCTCATCTCTCCGACTCTTTTTGAGATCATCCCGAATACGGTTCTTCTGATGCCCACGACTACGGCACCCGTACTCACTACTTCGATTATTGCCCCGACCTCTCCGACTCGTGCTCCCATCTCTCCTACTCTGTCTGGTGTCCTTGCCCCTCCGTGTGTCCCGCTTCTTCCGGCCCCAGGCCCATTCGTCCGATCTCTCCGACTCCTGTTATATAATATATATAGATATATAAACATATATATATATGTATATACATATATACATATATATATGTATGTATGTATGTATGTATATATATATATTATTTACACATATACATACATACATGCATACATACATACATACATACATATATACATACATACATACATACATGCATACATACATACATACACACATGCATACATACATACATACATACATACATACATACATACATACATACATACATACATACAGTCAACCCGCATAGTAAGGATGGGCAACCTTTCCAAGGGTACCCTTGCAGCCTTGCCTCCGAGGTCCATCGTTGGCCACTGTCGTTGACCGCGCCCCGCTCGGAAAACTTCGAAATGAGTTTCCGAGGCCCTTGCATCCTTATCGCGCATTCTTACTATGCAGGTTGACTGTATCCCGGTTGGGGTTCCTGCCCCCACGACTCCGGCACCCACCGCTCCAGCTCCTGACCCCGCTCCTCTCTCCTGCTCCTCGGCCCCCCCCCCCGCGGGAGCGCTCCCTCCCGGTGGGCCGACGACGGCCTCTCCCCGGAGAGAGAGAGGAGCCCCGAAGACGGGCCCCCACGGTGATCCCAAGAGAGGCCCCAGGAGGCTCCCCGAGGGAGGCTCCCAGGACTGCAGGAGGAGGAGGAGGAGGAGGAGGAGGAGGAGGAGGAGGAGGAGGAGGAGGAGCTGAGGAGGAGGAGGAGGAGGAGGAAAAGGAGGAGGAAAAGGAGGAGAAAGGGAGGAGGAGGAGGAGGAGGAGGAGGAGAGAAGCCTCGGGGGCTGGCACAGAGGGGGGGTGATGACCGGGGGGGGACAGAGAAGATCAGGGCGGGGGCCATCGTGACATCTCCCCAGATTCCAGGGCGCCTCTGTTTGTTTCGGTGCGTCCCCGCCCCCCCCCCCCCTGGGGCCGCGCACCTGCGGCCCTGCGCCTGCCCTCTCTTGGGCGCCCCCCTCCCGGCCGCCCCCGAGAGCCCCAGGAGGGCGCCAAGACGGCCCCGAGAGGCCGCCGGAGTGCCCGCACGGGACATCCAAGAGGGCCAGACTAGTAAAAACCCAAGGAGTTCCGGCGGCTTCTCCATCATTTCCTGGGCCCCCAATTTGTGGGCAAAGCGTGGTTCCGAGGTGCCTCGGAGACCCAAGCGGTCCCCAAGAGAGACCTGATGTCGCCCCAGGACTGCCCCAGGACTGCCCCGAATACCAAGCGTCAGTGCGACTTCAGACACCAACGCGGGGGTTTCGAAGCCAAGGATCCCATCATTTGGACACGGCATCAGAAGGACGGGGGGGCCCTGTCCCTTTCGAGGCCGGTGGGTTCGCTTGAGCGGCAGGCACGTGGAACCCTCGATGTTCAAGGTGGCGACCGAGGCGCGCAATTGCACGCTCGCGCCGACGAGACGGGACAGCGGCAGAGGACACGACGCCAGCGGTTGCCGCATCCCCAGGGAGGCTGAGCTACGATCGATTCTCGGCTCTCAATGAGCTGAGGCCCCTGCAGGGGACGCATCGGCTCTCCTTGCCGGGGAACCAACGTCGTGTCCCAACCGCACTCAAGCGATAGAGCTCGCACCTTCGTTCGCTCGGGCTCTTGAGCAGCGCGGATGGCAGATGCGAGCACCGCCATCCAACACAGATTTTCTCGCACTTCTGCGCGTGCCTCGGTGACGTCGCCCAACGTAGAGACCAGCCGGTTTGGATTATGATGCCGCCTAGCCGCAGATTTTAGGAAATTCGTAAATCGCGCCCTAGAGCAGAGACG